GAAGGAGACAATGGCAAACCATTTCTGAAATCATGTCAAGAAGACTGAAGGTACTAAGTCCAGGCAGTTACCAGGAGTTTTTCTGGTATGAAATTAATATCTTCTAGATGAGTTGAATTACAATTCCCATCACTTCTGGCTAAGGCATGCTGTATCATTTTAACTTTCAAATTCCTCTTAATTTATATTATTAAATGAATAATTCAAAGACACATAGATAAAATAATACACAAAAATAAAAAAGGTTGGGTTTACACATCATATTAAACCAGAAAAAGATAAAAAGCCTAGTTCAAAGTGTTAAATGAATATAGCTACTGGTTAGCCACATGACCTCTCAATCACATACCAGATTTGCTTAACTTCAATAAGCAATTATATTATAAACATTGATTTCTTTTGAACTGGAATACCGGTGTTTTCAAGGTCACAAATTCATTCTGAAGGACTGTCTCTCTTCCCTCCTTTAATTCAATGGGAATATTTGTTTAATAATATAAATTAAGGGGGATTTGGAAGTTAAAATGATACAGCGTGCCTTAACCAAAAACAATGGGAGTTGTAATTCAACTCATCTAAAAGTTTCATTCCAGAAAGCTGGTACAACTCAATACCCCAGATTCAGTCACCACCACCTTGCCAGAAGGTTGCAGTCATGGTAAAAACCTCTGCTTGAGGCCTTGGAGCTTCTCCCACGCAGACTGCTGGGCTAGTAAATTAATGGTCTGACTCAGAATAAAGTGACTGGTATTGCCAATGCAGTCTAGGCAAAAGTGGAGTCTCAACTTGCCCTGCTAAGAGACAGAATCAAGATAAGGAGCATCCTCCTTCCTGCCACAGCAAGTTGAAGGCTGTGCTGCCTGGCAAACCAGCTCCAGCCAAGCAGGTGGTGGCCCTGCTTGTTTAGTCATGTATCTAGAGGACTCTGCTAATTGCAAACCTGGGAACATTTCAGCAGCAGGCCCTAGGCAGATTTTAAAACACCGAGTCAAGAAAGACCTGCTCTGAAATCTATTTCTGCAATTTCTGTTTGACATATCCCAGGGATGTCTGGTGGGATGAGGGGGGGGGGTTAAAAAAAGTCAAAAGGGCAGTCACACCTTATAATAGAAGCCCTGCCCCTTTTTAATCTGTGCAACATATAAAAAGAGGTGGGGCTTTATTCATGTGATCCCAGTAGCTATCTTGACTTTCTTTTACCAGCTTTCTGTGTTGTATTAGTCACATTCCCAACAGACTATAATTGTCAAACTATCACTATCTTAAAAATCCTGGAGGAGACTCCCACCCCAAAATAGCTGAAATATTTTGCCTATTTTTTTTTTAACTTAGGGAAAAGGAGATCGGCTAGATCGGAGGACTTTGACGGAGAGCCAAGAAGCTTTAATGGAGATGAAGTAGTGAGCTTCTGCTAACTCTGTTTAACCGATCAGATGCTAAAACAGCCTGATGGTTTCACTTTCAAGAAAGGGTTAAACAGGAGGAGAAAAGCGCCATCAACATCGGAAATCCGAAATGTGAAATTCAGAGGAGTGTGTTCGTCCAGAAGGGTAAAACATCCCAAATCCATACCCGCCGAGCGCGCAAGCGCGGCTCTCTGGGCCCACAGAATCTTCTCAGAGGGGCCCCTCAGTGACGAGGAACGGGGATGCTCCCCCTCACCCCGGTTTCAGCAACTGAGTCGGGCAGGTGAAAGGGGGGGAGGTCCGCAGCGGCTGCTTTTCCCCCCTCTGAGCTTCTTCAAACTACAGCTTAAGGGGGAGGCGTTTCTCCCTTTCTTACTTAAAAGCCTCCATTCTAAAAGCTGGTCGCACGAAAACCTCTTTCAGGCGTCTCAGAACCAGACTGCAAAAATCCGGACGGCCGCATGGGAGCAGCAAAGCTTTCTTAAGTCTCTCGGCTGCTCTTTCTCCAGCCGCTGCCGAAGCGACAATGGAGTCAGGAGGGGCAGGCAGCAGCAGCTACCTTCTTGCCGCGCCGAGGCTCGCATATCTGCGCTCGGGTCAGAGCGCCTGAGCAGCAAAAAAACAAAACAAAAACAAAAAAAACCCAACCAAACAAACAAAAACCGATCGCAAAACCTAGCGGCAAAGAGGTATAGAGAACTTGGACATTTTGCCGCGGCCCGGATTTTTGCAGCCCAGAAATTGGGTGGCCCTAAACTGTTGCGATCAGGTTGGTCGAAGTCATGAAGCAAGGAGTGGCCCCGAAACGGCAGTCTCCCGCCTACTCTGTACAGTAGTTAGCTACTAAATCAGTTTGTCCCCCACCTTTATTTTAGAACTGTCTCTGTAATTGTGTGTGAATGTCTCGCACCCCAGGCGATGAGAAATTGCAGGCTAGTTGTAACCTGATATCTGCAACACCTACAAATGACAGATGTATTCAGTCTGGACTCTCCTCCTTAAAATGGCTTGAAGCTCTTTTTAATATTTGGCCTTCTCTCTTTTTTCTTATTCTGTTTTGGCTTCTCCTACCACCAGTTCTTTAACCTTTTTAGAGAAGAAAGGCACCGGTTTCTGAATAGTCCGCTTGGTGAGGTTGCCAACTAGTGGTTTGCTCTTTATTGTTATGAGTCAATATAGATACTTTCATTTTTAAGAATTACTTGGAGTGATCAAGAAGCAGCAAACAGGCTCCTCTTATTAAAGGTGTCTTTGGAAGCAGTTTGAGAAGACAAGCCTGCTGGGAGCAGAAGTGGCCAGTTTCCTAAACAAGATAAGAAATAAGGCATGAACTAGAATGAATAGCACTCTGCTTATATTTTAATTAATTTTGCTCAATAAATTGTTCTTCTTGGGCACTTCTTTCCTTCCACTAAGGCAGTGCTTAAATCAGTATCAGCATTATGATGCCATTGCAGACAATTTTTGTTCCCCCCCTCCCAACAACAACAACAAACAACAGTTGCAGTATCTTAGCCAGGGGTGGCTAAGATACTGCAACTGGTTCAAATCACCTAATTAACTTCCAGTTGCTGAGGTTGGCCTGAACGTGGATTTCCCTATTCCTTATCTAACACTTTAACCCAGGGGTCTTCAAACTTGGCCCTTTTATGACTTGTAGACTTCAACTCCCAGAATTCCTCAGCCAGTGTGCCTGGCTTGAAAAGTTTGAAGACCCCTGCTTTAACCACTGCATTATGCTGGTTCAGTATAATGCTGGAGATCCATAGTGGGCTGATCCATGACAGACTGATTTACTTCCATTAAAACAAAAGCATGCATCCATCTCTTCTCTCTTCTTATTTGAGGTCAGAGTCATTTTGTGTGTTGTGTGTTTGCAGTGGGCACACCAATAGCTCTTAATGCTGGCTCTCCACTGAATTCAGCTTATTGATATTACTATTAACAACAGGGACAGGGAAGAGGACAGGAAGATAAGATTATGGTAGCCATGTTTGCTGTACATGAGGAATAAGCACACAGAAAGGAAAGCAGGCTGGGGCTATTTCTCCAAAATCACCGTTATGCTGGAGCCGCAGGATATGTAAAATAAACAATAAAGGCCTCTCTTGTGGCCTTCATTCAGTCATATGCACATGGAGGATGTTGCATTAGATGTTGCCCTCTTGGTAACTGATAATCAGATTTGGACTCTTTTCATTAAGCTTGCCAGCTCACGTCACAATCTGGATCTCAAAGTATACACCTGTGGCTATTTTAAATATTAAAAAAATACTATTGTAGGCAGTGCTTTTTTTCTAAAAAAAAAAAAAGAGTGTTGGAACTCACACACGTCATACAACCCGCCTTGCCTACCCTATAAGGTTCCATCCAAAAAAGGTGCCGGAACTCCGTTCTGGGCATTCTGTGAGAAAAAAAGCCCTGATTGTAAGGTTCTTGATGCTCTCTGAGCTTGATTATTTTCTTGCAGATGTTTCATTATCAAACTAGGTAACATCATCAGTGCTAGCTAGCATCATCAGAAACAATTTTTAAAGATATTTTGGAGGTGAGATTCCTTTTTTGACATTGCTTTTTTTGAAACCAGTGGAAAAGCTTTCCTCCTTATTAGTGAGGAAAGGCGAATGAACTGGCATATGTTATTTTCCCTAGACTCTAGAGCATCTGTAACTGTTTCTATATACTTTTGTTGTAGAGTAAAACTGACAAAGAAAAGATTAACAATACAGAGATGGATAGTGGATAGTTTTCTAAGCTCATTGGAAGTTTCCAAATCAGAACACATCCAAACCCCTGTGATATCAGCTGGAGACCTGGAGAGAAGGACATACTGTTATCACTGAACTCAGCCACACATGAGCCATGGCTACCCAATAGCCATGTACAGTAGGTGCAACACATTGTTGGAAAGTTTATGGTTCAACATGTTATGAAAACCCAGCAACTGAAGACAGTCATATTAAACTTTAATGTGGTTCATCTGTTTGGACCTATTGGACAAATGTGAACAACGAGATTGTGTTTTGTTTTCCCTGGGTAAGGACTTAGCTTTTGTGTGAACTCAAACATTTATAACACAATACCATAGCATAAAAAGTCATATCATGTTCAACTGTTCTATTTTCTTCATGTTTAAATCTCAGCATACCTTTATAGTGGTTCATTCTAGATTAGGAGCTTTGGGATTGAGATGGGAAGACCTAATCCTTTTACTACACTTTTTGTGTAGTAATCATCCACATTAACTCACATCTCTTCTTTCTTTCTTTCTTTCTTTCTTTCTTTCTTTCTTTCTTTCTTTCTTTCTTTCTTTCTTTCTTTCTTTTTAGATTTGCTTAAGAAGGAAGTGGAAGAATGGCAGGTGAATGATGACCAGGCATAGCAATCTGTTTATTTGTTTTTTGTTTGTTGCATTTGAAAATGCAGGCAACAGTAGTTCAATTGGATAATGAACAAATCTGTGTAAAGCATACAGTATGAAATAAGCTGCTATAATAAAAGTAACAGCATTATGCAAATAAAAACAATCCTTACCTTCAATATTCAGCATTATTTAAATGCCTTAAATGTGTAAGAAAATTAGGAAGTACTCACATGGTGATAGAAAATCCATACTGGAGATAGACAGAGTTTAATGAACTCGAGTATGCTCACTTGTCTGCAATTTGCCTGCAACATATTGCAAATAACAAGTCACTATAAGTTAGAAGATAAGGGTTAAAAGAATCTTATCCTAATAATACACTGATATGTGACACAAATGAACCAGGAATCTTCAGAATATAACCCACTGTATGCTATAGAAATATCTCTGCAAGTTCAGGTTCCATCTAGTTCTGAAGTCAAATGCAGTCTCTTCGTACTGTAATAATACCATAATAAGGAAGTACTTTGCTAGGAATGGTTCTTTCCCAACAAGATAAGATTATCAATGCTTTCTCCTTGTGATCAAAAGAGGGACAGATTAAAGTTCATGGCTATGCTTATTGGGCAGATACAAATAAAATATTGGCACGAAAGAATAAACAAGTGAAAGGGAATTAAGACTGGCTATACCAGGGAGTTAGAGTATTCAGATGCTGTGCTGCAGCTAAGAAATCCATCCTTTGAAGGCAGTATTTTCAAACTTGACAACTTTGAGATGTGGGTACTTCAACTCCCAGAATTCCCCAGCCACAATTCTGAGAATTCTGGCAGCTGAGGTCCACACCTTTTAAAGTTACCAAGTTTCAAAAACATGGATTTAGAGGAAATAATGAGAACAATATGAAGTCTGTTGTGGCACAGATGAAGGTAATTCATATACTTCCTTTTCACCTTTGAGGGAAAAAAGGTGTATTTCTCTCCTCTCCCCATTCACATGTACACATTACCATTATATACCACTGTATTCTCTTACAAACACATATTCTTTTGTTATTATTAACACTATTTGCATCTTTCCTTTTCCAAAAATCTGAGTAGATAAAGGTGATGAGGCATTCCTGTCCCACTTCCTCTTAATTCTCTGACTTCCTGCACTGGCAATTTCCTAATTTTAAGGAGATTTGCTCCTTTTTATCAGTAATCTCAGCTAGGTTTCTGTGAAGACAGAGGAACCAATGAAGTTTTGTCTTTGCTCTTTGTGAATAAATAGATTTCAGTTTTCTGGTAAAAGTAGGAAATCAACAATCTGGTCCTTACCAGATAACTGATCAAAATCAACTAATCAGAAAAGGCACCCTAAGGAGATAATTTCTATAAATATGAAGCAGAAATTGATATGAGTTACTGAATATATAGTGTATATGAATGTAAAGTTCCTTGCTATTAGAAACTCATGAAAATGTTTCAATTCAAAATTTGGGTTGGTAAAGCTTATTTTTTCCTCATGCCACTTGTAATCATTGTCTTGCTGTTCCATGCCACTTGTAATCATTGTCTTGCTGTTTTATTATATTTTTCCTAAACTTCTTTTACTATAACCACTTTATGTTTTTATGATATGTTTTTTATGATGTGCAGTTTGGCTGATGGTGGCTATGTTACATGCTCCTTCTTTTATAAGGCGCTTTCCTTACTTTCTGCATATTAAAGTCAGAAATCAATATAAAGTGAGTGTGTTGGAAGAACTCCAATTAAGATAAAAAGCACAAGGGGGGGGTGCAAGTTTTGCTATCACATCACAAAGCAGCAGCCTTGTAACTGTCAAGCACTGGGGAAATCAGGAGATCCAGGCAGTTCAAATGGGTGTAAAAATTTATTGCAAGCTTAAGTTCCCTACAAGCATCTGAACTACTAATGGTTAAAACAATTTGGCAGTAAATAAGGAATTCACAGTGGGCTGGATTTAGATCACTTGGGGCGCAAAGGGACGTTTAATCCTTCCATTGGGCTCAGCCTGGTCATCTCCTACACTGTAATGGCTTCAAGCTAAAATAATTTGCTCTGCTGCTCTGTTTTGTCTGAAGGTCTCCTCCATCAGTTCCTCTGTTAGTTAGCAAAAGTCAGATGTCTGCGGAGGAGGGCAAAAAAGTCAAGATAGTGACCCTGACTGCATAAATGTATTATGACAATGATAGAGCTTTGATCATCCAATCACAGCCACCATTTTGACTTTTTTGATCTCCCCTGTAGACATCCTGGGTATGAGTGTTAGAGGAGGTTTCTGTGCTTGTGTGCAGAAATCTTTGCTGGCAATTGGAAGTGCCAGGGAGACAATCACAACAGCCTTTGCCTGGCCACTTCCCCATTTTGTTTCACTTTCAACCACTTAAAGGCGGTTGTGTTACTTGGCAAGCCCCTTTGAGGATGTGCTTCATTTGGAGTCATGCAAAAATGAAACCCTCTTTGGAAGCTTTGCACAAACCTCTAAAATATTGTATCTAAGCCTGCTTTTGGTTTCTTTGAAACAAGGCTCAGAAATATAATAGCAAGATTCAGATAGATAGATCATGAATATATAAGATTCATTAGATACAGAAGAATGTGTGCATGTTACTCAGACTACACCCCCCCCCCCGAACATTGGTATTTTAGGAAAGTGTGTAACACTCATGATGAAGACATCATGAGTTTAGGTAAATGGTGACACGTACAAAAATCCTTCAATAGTATTATTTTTTACTTACTGTAAAAGGACTTTTAGAACAATTAGAACTTTTAATAGTATATTATCTGTTATTTTTAGAATTATATTATTTATTTATCTATTACATTTAGGATTCTAAATAGCATAGATGGCTGTCTTGCCTGCTTTCCCTCTGTTTGCTTATCCCAAAATGTACTAAGTTAGGCTGAACAGTACTAAAGTAACTAACTAAAGGTCATCCAGTGAATTTCATAGCTAAATGGGATTTAAATATAGGTCTCCTCATCTTCAAGGACTGGATAGTAAAAGTTTCTGGAATTATACTAAGTACTAAATCACTGTTTACTTGAATCCCAGTTCATTAAACAACAACAACATAGCACATTCCAATGCTGCAGAGCATTGCAGGCCAAAACAACTGGACATGGGGACAGATTTTTCCCTTGGGCCATCACTCTGCTGAGCACCTAATTCTCACAGTTCTGTCTAACGTCTATGTGTATTTACCATACAGTATGGATGTATTGTCCCTTTACCATCACAGTAAAGGGACAAAAGCTGCAAGCAGTGGACCAATTTACGTATCTTGGTAGTACCCTCTCCCGTGCAGTGACAATTGACATCGAGGTCAACTGTAGAATTGCCAAGGCAAGTTCTGCACTTGGCAGATTGCGGACTAATGTGTGGGACCGCCGTGGAATAAGTCTTGCTACCAAGCTTAAAGTTTACCAGGCAGCAGTGCTAACTACCCTATTGTATGCTAGTGAGACCTGGACAGTGTACAGGAGGCAGGTTAGGCAACTGAACTACTTCCACATGACTTGCCTTCATAGAATTCTGTGAATCCGGTGGCAGGATAAGATACCAGACACAGATGTCCTCTCAGAGCAGGTCTATCATCAGTTTACACTCTGTTGATAAAAGCCCAGATGCGCTGGGCGGGCCATGTTGTAAGGATGCCAGATCATCGCATCTGTTATGTCCCGAGCCTTGCAAACGGCTCGGGCGTTTGCAGGCAGTCCCGGGCAGGTGCAAAGCTGCCCGGGACCAGACAGGCTGTCGCCAGCGCCGTGCGCATGCGCGGGTGCTGGCGCGGGAAAAGTATCACATTTACCCGGGAAGCGTCTATATAAGAAGCTGGGAGGTTTTGGGAGCTGCTGAAGCCATCTACTTGTAAGCTGAACGCTGAATAAAGGAAACTGAGAACTTCAACTGCTTCTCGTGTCTGCTTCCCGCCAAGGACTCAACACTGGCGACGAGGATGGGATTGCCATACACCGCCTGGAAAGGAAGAAGTGTAAGCTTACCCAAGTGAGTCCTGAGCGGCGGGACGGCGTCGACTCGGCAGCTACCCGCCAATCCAGTGCGCATTCGGGGGTAGGCTGGCTGATAGACCCGTCTTCTGAAGATGGCGAAAATCGGAAGGCTTTCGGAATTCGACTTCTCACATCCAGAGCGGTGGGAGTCATACGTAGCCAGGGTGGAGAACTACTTCAAGGCAAACCAAGTGAGGGAAGAGAGCTTGAAGACTGCCACCCTGCTTTGTGTTTGCGGTCAAGACGCCTTCGACATCGCAGAAAACCTTGCAGCACCTGTTCCAGTAGAGTCTGTCAGCTACGCAGATCTGAAGAAGCTACTGAAGGAGCACTTCCACTCCAAGATGTCCGTCATCGCATGGTGCCACACCTTCGAGCAGAGGGATCAACGGCCCGGTGAGTCGGCCAAAGAATTCATCGCCGCATTACGGAAGGCCGCCAAGCACTGCGAGTTCAAAGACCTCGAAGAACGACTGAGGGACCGATTCGTGTGCGGGTTAAGGCATCGAGATCTACAACAAAGACTTTTCGCTAAAGAAGAATTGTCCTACCAAGATGCCTTAAGGGAAGTCACCGCAGAAGAAGCAGCAGGCGGCGCTGTCAAGAACATGCGGCCGATCAGAAACAGTCCAGAGGTTGCATCCGTGCACCAGGAAGACGCCCAAAGAAACTCTGAGGAGGATCCGGACGAGGAAGTCGACCGTCTCCACCCCACGACGGAAGAAAAACAGAAGGGAAGCTCTTCAGCTCCGCTCAAGTGCATCGGCTGTGGAGGTCGCCACAGGAGAACCGACTGCAAGTTCCGCTCCGCTACCTGCCGGGCATGCGGCAAACAAGGACACATTGCAGCTGTGTGTCTGGGCTGACGAAAGGTACAACCTCAGGAAGAACTGCGCCTGAAAGGTACCAGATTCCCCAGCCAGAATAGGGTAGGGTTTTGCGCTTCGCGAAGAAGCATCCTTAGGACAGGCACACACAAGCCCATTAAGAAAAAGCTGTCACTCAAGGTGAAGCTACAAGGGGTTCCATTATCTATGGAACTAGACACAGGGTCTGCCTTTTCAATTATCTCCTTGCATACATTTAGGAAGATTTGTTCCGGTAGTGGAACTCAGGCCAAGTTAAGGCCTTCTGACATTGTGTTAACAGATTTTCAAAATTCAAGAGTGTGTGTTAAGGGGGAGGCCACCCTTAACGTGCAATACAAGAGTTTTGAAGGTCCACTAGACTTATTAGTAGTAGGGGGTGAACGAACGAGTCTCATAGGACTCGATTGGTTTGAGGCCCTGGGGATACACGTCACAGGACTCAACAGTTTACAAACACTCGACCTACAGGAAGTCTGCAAAGAATTTGCAGATGTTTTCAGCCCCCAGCTGGGCACATTCAAAGGACCCCCTGTGTCCTTAAAGCTAGACCCCACTGTCACTCCCATTAGAATTAAAGCAAGAAGGGTCCCTTTTGCTTTAAAGAGTAAAATTGACACTGAGTTAGACAAACTGATTCAACAGGGAATCCTAGAACCTGTTGATTCCAGT